GTGGGAGCTTGGCTCGTTGCCAGAAAATTTGAGAGCGAATGAACGAGAGAAATTTGCTACCTGCTTTACAGCTTCGCAAAGTGATCGGCAGGGTAGGATCTCCTTGTCCATGGTTGGCAGACATATGGGGGCGAATAAAGAGCATAGAAATAGCTGGAAAAATGTATTTTCTGGATCACAAGTAAATAATTTTTGAATGAATCTACGGGTGGAATTTGTCATTAGAATTCATTTGAGCAAAAAAATATGTTAGTTTAGTTTTTCTGAAGAATTTCGAACGAGTATGTGAGAAACATGAATTATTACGAACCATTTTCCTGCTTTCTCTAAACAAAATCATTATTTGGAAAAAAATAAGAAAAAGTGTCAATATTTGTGATGGAAAAGTATCAACTTTTTTAAGTATTGAAGCTTATCCAATAGTCGCTTAATCAAAATAATCCAACCCATGGAAAATTCTAGTTTTTATGGAAAAATTATCGAAATGTACATTTTCATAACGAATAATCCATTTTTACGGTAGCGAAGGTAATTAAACTTTAAATAAAAGGCTGACAAAAACTTCAAGAACAATGAATTCTGCAAGTCATTACGAATAATAGACAGGAAGAAGTGAGAAGTCTTTTTATTAGTACAACTTCTGCAGGTGAAGTAAAAGTTCATACGAACTTTTACTTGAGTAGACTACTACATTTTGGGACTTGTAGGATTGACAGGAGATTTGGACAACTTTTATATAGGGTAAAGAAACTTTAGATGAATAAGGTCCTGTATGGTCTTGCAAAAATTAATCTAATTAATTTGTTCATTCAGAAGGAGGGGAAGGATTCGATAGAGTGTACTAGAGTTCAGAAAAGGAGTTTACATAAAGGAAATCATCGATAAGGCTCCAAAGAGCATGAGAAAGATCACGTTTACGAAAGACTTACCTGCGTATCGGGATGACAGTTTAACTGTAACAATGATTTCCAATCACTTGATTGATGTATGGCTTCGTTGATAGTCTCGTGCTCCAATAGATTCGGTAGTCGCATTTGGTTATACTAAACAAAATCGGTAGGACCTAACAACTCATAAAAATCTAGCGATTCATGGGCACTGGCTTAAACATGATCACTGCTCTGAACAAATTTGTTTATTTAGTCTAAAGCCGAATTTTTGCCCCGGAGCACATGCTGCTAATGCAGAGGAAGTACGCATGGGTGCGGGTGGGAGTGACTATTCGAGTGGAAGCAATTTTACGCTTTTCTTCGAGAATTCAAGTACACTTGCGAGTAGTTTTTGCGCTGAGATGAGAGGATTTTTGTCAAGAAAGGCATCGAAATGTGTTGGGTAAGAGAGAAGTGTTTGCTAGCTAAATTTAACCCTCTTAGGTGCCT